TGTTTCGTTAAGAAGTATGACATAACCATAGATTTTCTATTTTAAACGTCTCTAGGCGTAAAAGTATTGAATTCAGAGACTTGTGCCCATTAAGACTTTCTTTCGGGACGTAGAGGACAACATATTTCAGTTTCAATGATCAATTTAACCGGGGGCACATTTTACATAAGATCTGTGCGTGGTCCTTTATTAAATAGAACCTTTTGTTTTTTATTGCATATTCTTGTAGCTTATCTCGAAAGCTTGTCAAAATATATAAAATATTTTTTGATTAAATAAACCTTGAGTTATGAAGCTTGAAAGTTGCAGTACCGTCAGCATTAGTATTATCCAAGGTTTCCAAACTGGCTAAAACTTTTTAAATGTTGTTCAGAATCATGACATTAATTTCGAACATGTGAACGTCATGACCATTGGAGATTGTTTTACTTTCTTTTTAATAAATATAATTTTTAAAAATGAAGATAAATGAAAGAATTTTTAACGACCTTTAATGGCCTTAATCTTGACATATGTTGTCAAGCTCATGATCCTGAACAACATTCAAAAGGTTTCGCTATTGTTCGGATACCTTAGATAATAGGTATTAATGCTGGTGGTACTGTAACTTTCAAGCTTTATAATACGAGATTTACTTAACCAAAAAATATTTTATCTATGTGTTTTGGAAAACTTTCAAAATAAGCTACAAGAATGTACAATGAAAAATGGGCCATTAAAAATTTAAATTTCCATTTAAAAAATTCAAAATAACCTTATTTCTGATCTTAACGATGCCACTTATTGTTAGAGTCAAACCAATATTATCATCTTATGTCTCATTTGAAGTCCCACAACGTTTGTCTGAAATATTTTTCCTTAAAATGCACTGTTCAAGAGATATTTAAGGTGATCGATTAAAATGGGACACCTTGTATATCCAACTAAAATCACATCCAAATAACTCTAAATCTCTTAGCATTTTTTTTTTAAAGTATCCATGAAAATCTTGAAAGTACAATATTAATACTTATTTTTATTGTTTGTGTTCGATAGTTTAAAATTGGCGCACACGGCGACTAGCGTAGTAATATATCCTATGCCTATTGTTTAACACCTTCCGGGAAGAAAGAGAGAAGAAGACAAGATGGCGAAACTCTCTTGTAACGTGCGAACACAATTTTGTGTACTCCGCAATAAATTCAGTAA